AAGAAAAATTCGAGTCTCCTTCCCTGGGACCGAAGTTAGAAAAAGTATATCACATTTGCCTGCTAATGAAAGGATACGAACGATTTTGTAGTATATAATGTGTAAACGCCCGATATCTTACCGACTAAGAATGAATTCCGCGGAGAATCCCGTCATCCTTAACTTGACGCTTAAAAAAGGACTTATAGACACGATACGACAGCTTATAATGATGATCACCGATTACAGTGAGTCATAAATAGGTCAGTAAAATCAAGGGATGTTTAGAAAAGTGCAGTAGTGTTTAGAAGGGTTTATTAATGTGATCCAGGTAGTTTTGAAAGGTGACAATGTCGTCCGTCGTCGACCGACAGACGATAGGATGCCAATGATTAAGGCAGTGGGGTTGAGTTGTATGAATGTTCGTTCTGTTCGTTCGTGTTCTGTGTATCACGGAATCGACGACAGAGATAAAGATACGTCATCTGATAAAGCAGTGGTCTCTGTCCGAAGTCTTGTCCCGAATCAAATGTCGCTTGGAAAAGTCCTTGAAAAAAATTTCAAAGGTCAAGTCCTGTCTGAAACCATGTCCTGCGACCAGACGATACAGGCAAAGGTCAAACGCTTTCAGCAGAGTCGGGTGTGTCGTCCACGCGATTAAGACAACATCTCTATATACTCGGTCGTCGAACACATTACCAGTAAACTTCAAACGTACAATCATGAACGATCTCCGATGATCTCTAATCTCACACACCTAAGTCGTCCACGCGTTGTCGTTAAAGCTCCTCGTAATATCAGAGTAACACACGGAAAGCATCAGCGATGCACAGTCGTCACGCGCGTCTCTATACACAACCATGAGGCTTTCCAGTCGTCACCTCTCTATACAGCAAACCTTGAGCTGTCACCGTCTCTGTGCAGCAAACCCTCGTCTGTCGGATAGATAGAATACTCTCTCTGGTGCGCCGCAGGTTGCGGCGAGCAGCTAAGTTATTATGGAAAACAAATCGGAGCCAATTACGTCACAACTCGCATCTAATGTTGTCAGCCGACTCAGTGGCGCGTAATGAGAATGTCGAGGCTGAAGGCGGGCAGCCTTTCCCATGACGAGGCCCGAGCACCCAGCCAGTTTTAGTATCTTGCCGAGAGAGCGGCGTTCTGTTCAAGCAGACTTTGTCAAGAGCCATGTAGGCCCGAAACAGCGTCAGCTGCGAAGCCGAACGGCTGCGAGACCACGTCCAATGGCACATTCTTTCACGTGTGACCGTTTATTGGAGCCAGGGTCGTTGTAAACACATAGGTTTCAGATAATGTGTGCTGAAAAATTGTGGCAATCCTTGTAATTGCTTTATAAAAAACAACTAAAAGAGCAGAATGCGCTTTTGTTTTAGGTCAGTCAGTGACGAACTAGATATATCATAGGATTTTATCTTCTGGTCACCGTATTTTTAATAAAAAAAAACATTGCCGATATTAATCACAGATCAATTTGGATGAAAAAAGAATTATCAAAATACTACTCCTCGGCCGACGGTACTAGCAATGTTGACATCGTTGAATAAACTATTCGACTGCAACTCTGTCATTGTAACCTACCAAGTGAAAAGTATAACATTTGCACGCGTAGTAATTGTATCCCCCGCGACGAATGTCGGCGGGGATCTCATGGTTTTTCATGTGCTCTCCCAGCCGCCGCCTCGCTCGTCGGCGCTGGGCAGAGATTTCGCTCTCCGTCGCTAGTAACTCGACCCCCTAATTGACCTATGCGCTTACAAACTTGGTATACTTACATCATCTTGGGGCAGAAGGTGATCAGCGTACCAAAACGCAGGTCACTGCAGCGACGCTTGTATTTGACCCCTTTAGCATTGAAACCTTGAATCAATATTTTCCTTGCCGCTCTGTAACTGGCCCATATTGATCCACGCGCTACAACTTGGTATACTTTACACATCTTGGGGAGAAGTAAGCAGGCATACCAAAACCAGGTCACTGCGACCTTTTAATCTTGACGTTACTTGACTTTGATCATATTTCTGTTTGCCGCTCTCGGAACTCGCGCCGCTAATTGACCATAGCGTTACAAAACACGAGGTCACTAACGCACCCTTTATTTGCCTTTACCTTTGATCATATTTCCCTTCTGCTCTATAACTCGGCGCATCCTTGCGCTAGCCAAACTTGGTATACTTACACATCTTGGGCAGAAGGTGTGTCGGGACCAAAACCAGGTCACTACAAACCTTTATTTGACCTTTACCTTACCTTGATCATATTTCCTCTATCCGCGTCTAATAACTCGCCCCTAATTGACTCTAGCGCAGACTCAAACATCCGTATACTTACAACATCTTGGGTGAGAACCACGGGGGATACATGTAGTGGCGACAACTGCCCTTTCGTAGTCAAAACTGCACACCCATCTTTAGAAGCGATAGGTAGATGGCGTGCACGAGTGGTAGAAATATTACTCCTGTTCAAAGTACCTGTGCTGGTATAGCATAGCTACTGCATTTCTTCATCCCCCCTATGCAACACCGCCCCCTCTACACTGTGATGTGTCGTAGCAGGGCACTGTCATAGCTGTGAGTCAGCATTTGAATATTGGCCATGCACAATTAGGGGCGCTTAAGAATATGCAGCGAGGGACATAGTATTAACCATGCTACACCCGGCAGCCTTTGCTGGTACTCGTAGTAATGATATTTGCTCGACTTTGAAGATGTTGAAACCTGCGCTAGATGTTGTCGTGAATGGCCGTGACTGGGCTGGCTGGCTTCACGGCGGAAAAACTGTTCCTCGCTTTAATGCATCTTGGCTCATTATCGATGCATTCTAGGACGTGCGCATTTGCGACATGCCCTCGAGTGGAGCTGAAGCAAATCGTTCGCTGTATCCGACAGCAGTCGCCACACGACCTTCGGACTACTCACAACGGAAAGCACAGATGTAATCCAGAGTAGCTATCTGTTCCTGCACCGATTTTTAACGTGACGCATAGGGGAAGGCAGGGGTACAAGTTACCGCAATACTCCCTGTCACGTAGAGCAATGGGGTTGTTACAACTGACACTAGTTGTTCATGCACCAATGCTGAGCATTTATTTTTCAGTCTGTCCATCAGGCAATTAGTCGTATAAACCTAAATGCTTTTAACATGTGTGTCTTACTTCGCAATAGTAGTCAGCTTATGCTAAAAGAACAACACTTAAGGAGTTGGAAATTGGGTAAAGAGTCATATGTTTGTGTAAACGATCGAAGCTCTGCGTCTTTCTTAGTGATACATTGTTTTTATTACTATGATAAACAATGTGGAAAGCGTATGCATGGCCTTATGTACGAGAATTTTTGATTTTTTCACCTTTGGGCAGTTTCATTTTGCAGTGGTGGTCCAGTCCCATCCATCATTAACACCTCCAATTGTATTGTATATGACACTTTCTTGATTCAATGTCTTCTGTTTGTCTCTACGCTTGAGGTGGCGCTGCTCTCGTGACAGCTGCACCTTCGCCTGCTCGCACTTCCAGGACTTGTCCTCCAGGTTCTGCAGGACACCAGAGTTGCGTTTACGCGTGTCGTGTTTCTCGCTGGCGTTCTCGCTCTCTCTCTCCCTTACTCCCTTCCTTCCTCCCTCCCTCCCTCTCTTTCCCTCTCGATCAATGCCAGTCACACACATGTGCACACACGCATACACCTATACACAAAGACAACAGAAGACATTGAAATCAAGAAAGCTGTATATACAAACAAATTGGGAGGTGTATGGATGGATGGACTGACACACTGACAAAATGAAACTGCCAAAGGTGAAAAATCAAAATTCTGTACATAAGGCCATGCATACGTTTCACATTTTTATCATAGTAATAAAAACAATGTCTCACTAAGAAGACGAGAGTTCGATACCGTTTACACAAACAATGACTTTTTACCCCCATTTCCAACCTCCTAGTGTTGTTCTTTTAGATTAAGCTACTACTATGCGAAGAAGAACAATGTTGAAAAAGCCATTTAGGTTCATACGACTATTGCTGATGGACAGACTGGAAAATAAATGCTCAGCATTGGTGCATGAACACTAGTGTCAGTGTAACAACCCATTTGTCTCTACGTGACAGGGAGGTATTGCGGTAACTGGTACCTCCTGCCTTCCCCTATGAGTCACTTAAAATCCGTGCAGGTACAGATAGCTACCTTGATTAACATCTGTGCCTTTGTGAGTAGTCCCAAGGTCGTGTGGCGACTGCTGTCGGATCCCAGCGGAACGATTTGCTTCAGCTCATCGAGGCATGTTCGCAAATGCGCACGTCTAGAAATCATCGATAATCAGCAAATCATTAAAGCAGACAGTTTCTCCACGTGAAGCACGCAGGCAGCACACGGCCCATTCACCGACAACATCTAGCGAGGTTTTCCACCATCATTCAATGTCGAGCAAAATATCATACTACAGTACCAGCAAGGCTGCCGGTGTAGCATGGTATACATGTCCCTCCGTGCCAATTTTAAACGCCCCCTCTACATTGTGCATGGCCAATATTCAAATCTGACTCACAGCTATGACATGCCCTGCTAGACACATTCACAGTGTAGAGGGGGCCGTTTGCCATAGGGGGATGAAGAAATGCATAGCATGCTATACCAGCACAGTACTTGAACAGAGATATTCTACCACTCGTGCACGCATCTACCTATCGCTTCGAAAGAGTGTGTGCAGTTTTGACTAGAAAGGGCAGTTGTCGCCAACTACATGTATCCCCCGTGTTCTCCCCAAGATGTGTAAGTATACGATGTTTGGTCGCGCTAGGTCAATTAGGGGCCGAGTTATAGAGCGGAAGGGAAATATGATCAAGGTTAAGGTAAAGGTCAAATAAAGGTTGTAGTGACCTGGTTTTGGTCCGCGACACACCTTCTCCCCAAGATGTGTAAGTATACCAAGTTTGGTAGCGCAAGGGGCCGAGTTATAGAGCAGAAGGGAAATATGATCAAGGTAAAGGTCAAATAAAGGTCGTAGTGACCTGGTTTTGGTAACGCTAGGTCAATTAGGGGCCGAGTTCGAGAGCGGAAGAGAAATATGATCAAAGTCAAGGTAAAGGTCAAATAAAGGTCGCAGTGACCTGGTTTTGGTACGCTGCTCACCTTCTCCCCAAGATGTGTAAGTATACCAAGTTTGGTAGCGCTAGGTCAATTAGGGGCCGAGTTATAGAGCGGAAGGGAAATATGATCAAGGTAAAGGTCAAATAAAGGTCGCAGTGACCTGGTTTTGGTACGCTGCTCACCTTCTCCCCAAGATGTGTAAGTATACCAAGTTTGGTAGCGCTAGGTCAATTAGGGGGTCGAGTTATAGCGCGGAAGGGAAATTCTCTGCAGCGGACCGAGCGGCGGCGGCTGGAGAGACATGAAACCATAGTATCCCCGCCGACTTCGTCGCGGGGGATACAATTACTACGCGTGCAATGTATACATTTTCACTTGTAGGTTAATGACCAAGTTGCAGTCAATAGTTATTCAACGATGTCAACATTGCATAGTACGTCGCGAGGAGTATTTTGATATTTTTTTATTCATCCAAATTGATCTGTGATTAAATATCGCAATTGTTTTTTTTTATTAAAAATAGGTGACCCAGAGATAAAATCCTATGAATATCGTAGTTCGTCACTACTACCTAAACAAAAGCTCATTTCTGCTCTTTTAGTGTTTTTTATAAAGCATACAAGGATTTGCCACAATTTCAGCACACATTATCTTGAACCTATGTGTTTACAACGACCCTGGCTCCAATAAACGGTCACACGTTGAAAGAATGTGCATTGACGTTGGTCTCGCAGCCTTCGGCTTCGCAGCTAACCGCTGTTCGGGCTACAGTGGCTCTTGACAAAGGTCTCTGAACAGAACGCCCTCTCCTCGGCGAGATACTAAACTGGCTGTGGTGCTCGCCTCGTCATGTGGAAGTCTGCCCGCCTTCAGCCTCCGACTTCTCATTACGCGCCACTTGAGTCGGCTGACAACATTAGATGCGAGTTGTGACGTAATTTGGCTTCCGATTTGTTTCCATAAACTTAGCTGCTCGCCGCACCTGCGGCGCACCAGAGAGAGGTATTCTATCTACCGACAGACCGAGGGTTTGCTGCACAGAGAGGTGACCACTCAAGGTTTGCTGTATAGAGAGGTGACGACTGAAGCCTGAAGGTTTGCTGTATAGAGAGGTGACGACTGAAGCCTGAAGGTTTGCTGTATAGAGAGGTGACGACTGAAGCCTGAAGGTTTGCTGTATAGAGAGGTGACGACTGAAGCCTGAAGGTTTGCTGTATAGAGAGGTGACGACTG